TTATCCCTGTCAACTAAAAGAACAACAAATCTAAGCAAATTTAATCTACTGTGGTTTTTATCCTCAACTGAACTTGACTTTGACTTCACTCTACCATGTAATGATTTGGTGAAAATCACACAAAACTTTCCTTTTATGTAAGGGAATGGCTGCCATGCAGCTTTATATGACATAGTTTTGAGGCTATGTGCATACATTTTTAAGGATAAGCAAAAGATGGAGTGATGAGTGAGGTCATTATTCTGCTTCTACTGTTCTTCACACTAAAAGGCACAAGTGGAGGAAGGGGAAACTAGATAAACCAGAAAATGAAGAAATAAGGTAGGCTTCGTTTCAACCAGTATCAACCAGCTAGATGTTAGCTGTTGGTTTTAATGTCAATGTCCTCTACAGCGACTTTGGCAGCACTTGCAGTACTGATCATCCCTGCCAAGCAGGGGTGCACAGAGAGGGCAGATGGACTACCCTCTGCAGGTGTCCCTCTTGCCCCTCTGCACAGTAAAAGTCAAGATAAATCTATGGGGTTGACATCTGACTTCTGTCTGGCTCCTGCCCCAAGTAAGGATCATGGGGCTCTGGAAATATGTGCTGGCTGCTCTGGAGAGCCACCTTGTTTCACACAGGCATCCTCCATCCCTGTTAGCCCTGTGGAGACCTGATGGTGTTCAGGCCTTTGGTTTGACAACCAAAAACTACTGATAAGATCTCTCTTAAGTCTGACTATCATGATTGTCAAATGTTCAGGAGACACATGAATGTAAAAGCTGTGCTCAGTGTCTTAGCAATTGCAAGCAGATGGTGGGCCTGTTTCTCTCTTGTTAAATATAAGAGGACAGCTTCTTAGGCCTGACCAAGCCTGGGTGACCCGTCAGAGCTGCCAGGGGGATTGAATCCACCTCACCCGAAGCAAAGAGCAAGGCAGGGTCAGGCGAGCTCTGCCAAAGGTGGAGACAGAGCACATCATGTTTCAGCAGCAATGAGAAATGTGGTAGAGTGTTTTACCTGCTGACAGCTCCAGAGAAGAGGGATGCAAAAAGACCCCAAGCTCCTGCTGCAGAGCGGTGCCAAAAGCCCAAAGTGCTGGCACAATTCCAGCTGCTTCCCTTCTGCTGTTTTCCCTGATGACCCGTGCAGGCAGTGAGACAGTAGATGTGAGTGAAGGAAAGACATCTTAGCTTATCTGGTTTCCCTCTTTGGCAAGGTAGACATATTGCCCGCATTTTCTGTGTGGGGTCATTCATGTGAGGAAGCATCATTTCAGATCATCTGTAATAATCTTCTGAAAAGGTTCATCTTGTGCACCTCAAAAGTACAGTTGGAGTGAAGATGAAAAGTAGGTATTTGAAAAAAAGTGGCTCTGGGATACAAGAGATGTAAGTGTCAACTCTCCAACCCCAACTTGCCAAATGTTGTTCTCCTTCACTGCATGGAAGCCTCACTTAAGCACAAGCTTGTTTGCTTATTTATTAAATACATATGTTTTATGGTGTCTATGATCTGCAGAAAACATTCCATCTTTTGGACCCAGGGGCAAAATCCCTCTTTCCAATCTGCACAGACGATCTTTATGCTGATATTTTGTTCTTCCTAAGGGATTTCTGTGTAGTGAGGGAAAGAGAAATATCAGAGCTCAAATCCACCAGGTGTATATGAAAGGAAAAGCCTGCTTTATAGTCCTCATCATTGCTTCCCTCAGTAAAGGAGAAATGCAAACAGGAAAATGGAATAGAAACTATGATGATCAATATTGCTAATATTTAATAAACTGGCTGTTCTTCACTAAACCTTGTGGCTTTTTGCAATGAGATAATAGTTCCATCAGCATTAGCAGGACTTCGTAGCTCAAGAAAAGAATGGAGATACTTCTCTCACACTTATCTTAGGCATTTTCTGTGAGAAAGAGCAACATTTTGAAAAGGTTTCCCTTCCACTCTTCAGATGTGTGTGATCTTGGATCACCCCTCTAGTTTCTCTTCCTTTTTTTTTCACCAAGTGTAGTCATTTCCAATAAGGTTCATGAAGGGTTTCTGCTTTTGAAGGTCCCAAATGGCTTAAATCACTCCTAGCACAAATGCACTCTCTATTGTGGAAACTGAAACCTGCCACACCATAAGGTGATCTGTATATTAGAACCAGATATCCCTTTGCATCTGTATTTCCAAGCAGCAAAGTGGTATGTTTTGAGTTAACCTACTTTTAGAGTGGCTCATCTGATAGAGATATAGCTATAAATACTGCTGAAGGGCTGGTGCGTGCCAGGCTTTTGCAAGGATGCTGGCTGGGGAGAGGAGGAAGTGGAGGCAAGAGGTACTCTCCTTTGCAAAATATACATCACCTACTCAAACTACCATAACTGCACACCTTAATGACAGGGCATCTTTTCTTCCTACTGTCTAAGGAGACTGTGGTCCTTGTCAGATGAACAACAGGGTTCTGGGTGCTTCAGGTTGGATCCATGCTGACCCCAACTTCTAATCCTAAGTGCAAACGGCATGACACAGTTTGACTCTTCCACTCCAAAACAGGATGGTCTGACATCTACCAGGAGCAGTTTATGGACTTTATTATCTTATAAATGCCCTGACATGGACTGAAAAGGACTGATAGACCAAAAGCTGCCAGAGACTAAGTTTACAGTGAAGACTATGAACAGGCATTAGCCTAAGCCTTTGCTGTGATCCTTTTTAACTTGCCTATGCACACTCAGACAAGAAAGACAAGTTATATGAAGCATTTGAGCAGGACAAGGGAAGATCGAGTCTTCTGTGACCTGAAGCAGAGAGGCCACACCATTACAGTGTGCCTGCTAAAAAGTGCAGTTGTACTTCCAGTCGACTGCCTTCCCCTCACAAAATTCTGCATCTTCTCTGCAGAGCCATCCCTCTGCATCATGGTATGTATTGGCATGGAGCAGCAAGAAAGTTTTCCCAACACCAGACAGTTGGAGGAACCATGCAAAGTGATTCACCTGACTTTTCCTGTATGACAGTCACACCCTGAATGTGTGGACAATGTTGGCTAGATATACTTTATCTTTACTAGGAACATAGGATGAAAAAGTTAAACATAGAGGTCTCCACTTAGTTTGATTAGTCCCTCCAGTAGATGTGAGAGGAGAAGTTGGCATGAGAGAAGGACATAAAAGGGGTATTGGCACATCTTCCTACTTAGTTGAGCCAAGGTGCACCTTCAGCTCTCCTCACCCACTTCCATTTAAGTCAAGTACTATCTCCATTTAAATCAAGACTTTAGCTTCCTCTAGGCAAGACATGGATTTACAAAGTGTAATATGGAAATTTTCCTACAGCAAGTCCACTTATTGCTCCAATTTCAGATAACTGCAGTGCAGATTTTATTATTCATAGCCAGAGGCTTGTGTAAATTTCTGGTTTGACTTCTCATGTCCTCGCAAGGGCAGAATGTGAGCTGTGGTGTTCAGGTTTCATGATGAATTACTGTGGGAACTGGCTTGCACTATCCTAACAGAACTCAAGGAGTTTGTGAAGTCAAAGGGGAATCTTACTAAAAGGAGCTGATATGGTTGGGTTTCCTGCCGAGCCCCACTGAGATCCTGGGGAAGATAGAACTTCCCAGTGCTGCTTGCTGAGAGAAAGCAAACAGAACTTTACCACGGAGTTCACTCAGTGCTTGACCCAGCCTTCCTACTGCTTCAGGGTTTTCTAGGACTAATCAGTCTTGATAACAAAATAATTCAGAACAAGAAAGTGAATGCATTTGGGGTTTCCATGGATTTACATTAGGATCTGAGTTCATTACAATATTAATTTTGACTAGGTCCAGTCCTTTCTAAAGGCACTTCAACACTACTTTCATGCTACATAAAAATGTAATTTTTGTGTACCATAGTAAATATATTCATGTGTATGTAACTGTATATATCTCCAGATATGTATCTCCACATATGCTGGACCATTACAAAACCATTTATAATCTATTACAGAACCTTCTGAAAATTACATTCATTCCCAGATTTTAATGACTCACATAAACTCTGACTACTCATAGATTTCTATAAAGATTATTTTTGGACTGACTAAAAAATTCATTGTTTTACATTTGCATATATATCATTGGTGAAAGACATTTTTTTGGGGGGGGGAATCTTTATGCCTCACTCAAATATGATTCACAGAAACATAATTTTCACATGAAAATGGAAAACACTTTCCTTGATCTAATGACAGTTTTAAAGGTTGATATGTTGTACTCTTTTATCATGAATGACTTAAAAGTAAGTAGAAAGGAGATGTTTTCTGTTTTCTATCTATGCAGAACACGCTTCTTATTAATATAACTCATAAATATATGTGTTTTTTAATATAATAAAGTTTAATGTAATTTTCACACATTTTCTTGAACATTTTCCTTAGAATACACACAGTTTGAGTTATTTTACTATGAAAGTGGAAAAGCTAGTATGATTTTTACTCAAATGGTAATGTTATTTGAGGGCTAACTTTGATCCATGCATGAATTTTCCTTTCACACAACTGTAAAAGTACAAAGGATGTTTTGTACTGTAAGTTCTTAATACTTTCTTTGATTGAATTTGGCTCCATCCTGGAATTAATCTAAAACTCCTGAGTCAATCAGATTTAAGAAGTTATGAGTTTTTCAAAATTCACTAAGCTCCAACAGTTTTTGAAGTTTGATCTAAGAATCCAATGTATCAACACATAGGGAAGTTCATTACAGTCCTTAACAACATTTAATGCTCCAGTAAAATCATTCAAGATTGGATGAGAGAAGGAGAAACAGCATTTTAATGAATGTTTATTTAAGAATCCTCAACTTCAAGTTCTGGCAGAAAATCTTCAGATTCAAATTGTAGATACATACAAACTAAATACTACCTTGTTAATTAAAAAATAGTTTGATTTTCTTATGTGGCATAACAGAAAAATCGAATGTTATTTCAAAATTGTGACAGTTATATTCTGTTGTGACAGTGTAATTTTTTTTTTT